TCAATGAATAGAGGGATTTGTTCTAATACTGTTTGTTAATAGGATACCATCTCTTCATCTTGTATAGCAAAGAACCACTAGGAAGACAGTATGCAATGTGTTGATTATTGGAACTGTCCTACCAATTTGATTTGAAACTGTCTCATTGCTATTTATTTCTTTATAAAATCATGGGTGAAAAAAAAGGCAAAAATGCTCTGCTCCATGCGTTAGAGCCTTTACCTGCAGAAGGGCACCCAGAGCTCAGGAGGCATCCAAGGGGCCTTCCCCCTGACAGCGTGGGTGGGGACCTCGCAGCTAGGAGAGGCCAGGCGGGAATCAGCGAACCCAGTCCCCACTTGGTTGAGGGAACAAGAGAAATGGAAAGAGACTTTGTCACTGCCCCCGGACAGTCCCAGCATGGGTGGGCACGGTGGACGGCACCATGGCAGGGCGTCGGCTTGAGGGAAGGCCATCCTGTGATGTCACGAGAGGGCGGGTCTTATGCAGATAAGGCAGCGCGGGGCTGCTGGTTGGATCCCTGGTGTTGAAACCTAATGATTTTGCTGTGACCAGGGAGATAATGTAGGGAGGATTTTGGCAGCTGGGCGCATCTGCTGCATGGACGGGCTAGGAGGACACGAGAGTGCGTGAAGGCAAATGAGCCTGAGTGCAGAGTGAGGCACGCAGGAGGCTTGGTGGGGGAGGGTGCAGCAGTGGTCATAATTACCTGGCAGGGGAGATACCATGATCATGAAGGTGGTTTTCCCAGGGCCAGGTTTATCTATTGCACTCCGGATGTGCTAAACTCTGCGATTTCCCCAAATGCAGGAAAATCCACTACATAATTTGTGATAGTGGGGGAGTGCATTCGCGCTTTACCCCGTTTTGTGGTTAAATGTGAGATCAGACTTTTTAATGTTCAGTTTTTTTGAATCCACCTAGTTGCGTGGAGAGTGTAACATACATGAACTTTTCCGGTGCCTCTTGAGATAAATTTTTTGCATATGTTCATACTCGCACGTTTTGACAGTTCTTCTTTTTTTATTTCACATGTTGCTTATGAAATGTGGGCGCTTCCTACTGACAGGGCCAAGTAGAAGATACCAGGCGTGGCCCGTCCTGCATGGAGGAGATGGCTGGGTAGAGACACTTTCCTCGTCCATAGCTTTTCACTAGCAGTATTTGTCGTGTGCAGCCTTGCCAGCAAGGAAGACGTGACCACTGGTTGTGTCTGCGCAGCTCTTTATTGCTCTCTCACATCTGTCTTCTCTCTCCCGAGGCCCCTGCTCTTAGCTTATAAGTCTCAGGGCTTCCAATCATGGGGCGCCACGTGTGTACCGTCCATTGGTCCAGATACGCAAAAGCGATGCATTAGCCCAAGCTTTGGCCTTATATGGAGTTGTTTATTACTAGGAGCGCTCACCCCCTGAGAGGGTGGAAGGCGGAAACCGGTGCCATCCCAGGGTGCGGCTACATGCAGCTCCCTACAGTTCCCCCTTTTAGTTTTTGCAACAGGAGAAAACAGAGGCCCGATCCCCATTGTGCTAGAGGCTGTGCTGACGCTTGCCCAGGCTTTTATACCCAGGGAGCGTCAACAGCGCT